TGTACAGGCCTGTTTAGACCAGCAGCACCTGAGGCTTTTACGAGGTGTGGAACAAACAGCAGGTGCACAACAAACACCCACAACACTGCGAGTGCACGTGTGTGCACTGTGTGTAACGTGCATAAGTGCATGTGCATGTTGGGGAGGTTAGGATGCATTTGCTCCTTTCCTTTCCTTTCTGTTTGAAGGCTAGCCGTCAGGTTTACAGCCATGTGCTGCCAACAACAACAATGTTGTAGACATTATATAGATGTTAGATAGATGTTATCTACATTATTAAATAGATAACTTCAGAGATCATTATCAAAGTGATTATCCCATCTGGAACAGGCTGCAGGGCAAAACCACAATGCAACCTATTGGCTTTTGTTTTATTTCATCACTTTATATTAGGAAACATCTCCAAAAGACATGTGGTATGGAACCATAATACAGTTTAATGTCCCATTCTGTAACTTTTCTACCTTAAAATTCTAACCTTAAAATAATTGTGACGCTATACTGAGTTGTTATAGGGTGAATGGTGTTTCTGTCATTCCCACTCTCAACCTCCACGTTCTTGCACTGTGTAACTTTTGGCTCCAGGTTGGGACAAGTGTGTAATCCTTTACGACAGCAAGTCACACACCAACAACTACGCCACTGATTTTGGTGAAACTGGATCATATTTTATGGGGAAAATGTGTTCTGGTTTTCCCTCTGGTGTCCTCCGGGTGGCTGTACCTCTACTCTCTGTGATTTACAGAGTTTCCTGATGCAGAGTAAAGTAACTGCTGCCAAATGGAGATTCTGTTAACAAGTTAGCTTAACCATACTTCCCTGGACGTCCGGGACTGGGTGCTCAGAGCACCGGGGGAGAGTTTTGGTGTTTACACTGGTAGCACGGGAGCTTTGGACAGGGGGAGGAGGAAATTATTAGGACTGGGAAAGGGGTGAATGCAGACAGAGAGAGACATCAGTGTTGTGCCAGAACCAGAGCCGGGCGCGTGGGCAATGTAACCAGCAGCGGGAGAGGGAAAGAGACCTAAGAGGACATTGAAAGACTAAGCTAAGACAATAAGGGAGAGAGAAGACGCTGGACAAGAGTAAATATGCCCGGCTCTCAGTGGTTGATGAGAGCTTGGTGAAATAAAAGGCTGCATTTACCATAGTGCTATTGCAACTGTGGGCGCCAAATCATAACAAACACCAAATCTCCTCTTTTGAAATAAGTGAAGACCACCACTCCTAAATGACTGAATGTGTGTTGTGAGAATTCCCTCAGCTGCTTTGGGTGTGTGTGTGTTTGCAGTACATGTTTAACTCTCAACCAATCAGCCGTTTACAATCCTTCAGCGTGTAAAACAAGAGTAAATCTGTTGTACTCGCTCGCTCTCTTTCTCCTGCTTACTCTCTCAGAGAATTGTCGGCTTTTCTCAGTTGTTAATCAAAATACAGTTTTCTACCAGCAACTGCAGGGATTTGAGTGAGTGTCCATTTGTGCATTGGTGTGTGTGTGTATGCACATGCACATGTGCAAATCGATCCCTTTGGACATAGATCATCCTGTCTCTGTGCTGGTGTACTGTGTCCGCGTGTCTTTGTATGCGTGTCTTATGTCTGGAAGCGGGTAGTGATAAGATTGGTTGCCAGGGGAAACAGGAACGGCTGTTTCCTAAAATGGCTCTAGGCAACCCTCAAGTGTGGAAAACCTCTCTTGATGACTGACCTTCAAAGCTGAACACATCAGATGTGTGTGTAATGACAAGTGACAACAAGAAGTGGCTCTTTGATCAGTATCTCTAAACGATGACAACATGTAATCATAGGCCTCATTAGTTCTTATAGAGGCAGCCACCAACTGAATATTAGCGACACCCATCACTTTTTACACACAGGTAATGGACCTATACAAGTTCAGGTCCATTACCACTTGCATGCAGGCCCAGAACTGGAGTCAGTAGTGCACAGATCCTGTACCCCACCTGGAGCACAATAGCAGAGTGGGTGAAACACAGCTGCTCACTCCCTACAACACACAATCAGCTGCAGCTTCGCGTAAACAGTGTACAATATTAACTACAAAACAAATCAGAGTGCCGGTGTGCCGCCGATGCAAGTGCACAATTCAAAGCCGATCTGAATTTCCTTGAGATTCATTTTGCGGATTTAAAGAGGATGGTAATAAGCGAGCCAATCCAATAAGCATGAGTGAGTCAGTGACAGAGGCGGTGCGTCCCTGCAGAGTCTCTAATGAATTAAGGGGCCGGGTTGGGCTGAGCTCTCACGTGGACTTCAAGGTGCTCCCTCTCTGCGCTACAGCGACGCTGCCTCATTGTATATTCACACACACACGCCTTTTCAATATGCAAGAGAAACAGCGGCTTACGGAACAGCACAAGAGGGGATCATGTGGTCCCGTACATTTTATGCCAACATACACACACATATATTTTCACACCTATGAATAGCATTTATTGTCATTGTCACAAGTACAACGAAATTTTGTTATAAGCGGTCATGGAAAATGCATACACATATGCTCACTTGTTTTTATCCATGTCTGTTAAGTTGCTGAATAATTAACCACTCAAAAAATGTAATTACATGACTGTCTACACTGTACAATGCACTGTAGAAAATGAGTAAGAGTTAAATTATTCCCTTCTCTAACTAGTATAATTCAATTCTAGTGACATTTAAGTTTGCCCTATGCTGCTGGTAGATCCAGATTCCTGAGGGAGTCCTTGGTAACCGCTATGTAAAAACACAAGCATGCATGCTGCGCACCCTGAGCACACATCTGCAAAGCTCCTACATGAGTGAGCCAAACATCTTAGAGTCAGTCGCTCATTCAAAGCATCTGACCACCAACCTGCATAGCGGACGCCGGCAGCATCACTCATCCTCAGCAGACACACCAACATACAGACAGACAGGAGACCAGGCAGACAGACAAAGACAGCTAGACAGACACGAAACAGAGGCTGGTTTAGTCTGCACAGTCAGAGCGAAGCCCCGCAATGCATCCTCTGCAGTGGTCTCCCCTTCAGTCGTGATCACACAACCTGTCTGATGAAGCCTGGTCTCCCCCTGTCGGTGTGCATGACTGTGTCTGTCTTGATGCCTTACAGAGATTGGCACGTGTGCGTAGGCGCCGCAGGTGAGCTACCATCAAGCATGTCACGTTACCTTTGGTTTAATGTGTCACTACTCCTTCTCAGTAAGTCGCAGTTGGGCTGTCTTCATTTTCTCTCCACTCTCCCTCACTCTTCCTCTGCATCCGTCTCTCCTCTCCCACTCCTCGATGCTTGCTTGTGCCTCGACCTCGCTCTACCCCTCTCTTTCTCTTTTCCCCCGGGGGGTATGTGTGCGAGTGCGGTTAGCG